AATTTGTCAGACAAAAAGGCAACATAATAAATTAGTGCCAAACTTGGTTTGACGGATGAAAAGGAGATGTACTGAATTAGTACTGAGGTCAATTTGTCAGACATAAAGGCAATATACTGACTTTGGTTTGTCAGATAAAACAAGGCAACAGACTGAATTAGTGCTGGTCTTGGTTTTCCAGACAAAAAGCCATTGTACTAAATTTGTACAGAGTTCAATTTGCACAATTCAGAAATCAAAGAAGCCAAAAAAACAGGCTGTGTATATACACAACTCTCACTCCCTCATAGTCTTCCAGTTTTCTATTAATTTATGGTCATATATCTCTTTAGTCCATATAAATAATGAGGTCATTAAAAATTACTGAAAAGGAGGCCAAATTTGAAGGACTTCAGATTGTACAATGAGGGATTGGTTATGGCTAATTCATTATAAAGAAAGGATTCCTAAAAATTCCCCAGTAGAATATTTGTCTAATAAGGAAATAAATATGTTAATTAACAGAGACCAGTCTCCTCCTTTGTACATTTTTAGCCTTGTTATTTATTAAGTTTTGTATGCAGCTCTTGGTGAGGATCAAGTTCACCATTCTGTGGTGATAGCCAAGGAAACTAGCTCGTGAGTCATTAGCTTGTCCCAAAGGGCACGTTTTTAGAAGATGTACCAAGTGAGTGTCAAAAACACCTTAGCCAAGTTTGTCACAAGGCAACAAGTATGATGCATGCAATGTGGATTAAAATCAATGTCCAGGAGTAATGGGAAACCAGGCTAGCTCATTAACCATCACCTAGTCATGAGAAAAGAAAAAAATTAAATATATTCACTTAGCGCTCAAAAATACAGCCTTGTACCAAGATTAATGAAACCAATACATTCTACCAATACTCTACAAAAATCAGGATAATTTTGAACAATGTAACACCATGAATGTCACACACATACACATATATATATATATATATATATATATGTGTGTGTATATATAAATAAATAGGTTTATATAAAAGAAATGTTTGCTAAATCAGTGAAATTAAGTAGCTATTTTTGCCGTCATTGTCATATATTTTACTTAAATAATATTTAAATATAAAAATTTTTTTTTTAAATTTGTAACCTAATAATTTACATACTTATACTTGATGTAAAAATAATTCTACATACTGTAAGGGCTTCTAATTACATTTAATTGTTCTTAAAAGAAATATAGTAAATTAAAAATTAAAAGTGAAAATATTTCAAATCGTAGTTAAAACGTATTCTAACCTAAACACCCTCCCAAAATCTTTAAATATACAAATAGAAAAAAATGCCGTAAGAATTTTTGCCATTAACAATAAAATTTAAAAAAAATCCAGACAACATGCATTTAACGGATGTTAGATTTCATTGAAAAATACATCCCTACCCGCTACCAAAACGTAACTAATAACGGATACATCAAAATACAGACATAATGAACACGCAGACACCCCTTGTCTAGTGGAAGAGGATTTATCTGTAACCTTGGAAACGTGAATTATGATTTTAGCTGTGTCTTTAAAACCCAGTAGTTTTAAAAGTTACTCCAAAATTTGCTTGAAGATGAAATGGAACTAATGTCTTTTTTAATTGCAAATTTAAATTAAGGGGTTTTAGCTTCCATTTCTGAAACATGGTTAGACCAGTGTAGCGAAAAGAAAACATTTTAAAACAATTAATTTATAATATATATATATATATACGTGGTTGACTCTCCTGCCGTATTCATTCAACGTATGAGGGTCAAGCAGCTCAGTTCCTAGGAACCGACAGCCCAGACCACCAGCACATATGATTTGATTATAGTAGTGAAGGCTTTGTGCGGAACCAACCACACTTTTTGAAGGGCTGAATACAGAAACCTGGTGCACCATGTGCCACAAGGTCCCCAAAACCACCCACCACAGGTTGTGAATTCAGAGTTGTTCTTCTCCTAGACCAGTTGCCATCCAAAGCTATAGAACCCGGTCTGTCCTGCTTTTTACCTATAGACAAGAGAGAACAAGGCCAGTTGCCATCCAAGGCGACAAAACTCAGTCTCTCCTGCTATTTATCTATAACTGGAAGGCGGAGAGGATTAATACCTTTCCCAAGGTTATTAGCACATAAGTGAATGTAATGGATTCGACTAGAATTTGAACTTGGCTCTCTGATTTCTTAATCAGAGCTGCTATATATATATATATATATATATATATATATATATATATATATATATATATATATATATATATATATATATATATATATATATATATATATATATATATATATATATATATATATATATATATATATATATATATATATATATATATATATATATATATATATATATATATATATATATATATATATATATATATATATATATATATATATATATATATATATATATATATATATATATATATATATATATATATATATATATATATAATATATATATATATATATATATATATATATAATATATATATCTCATCATCTATGCAAAATATTTTAAAATTGTAGTTAAATAAAAGATAAAAAAAAATAACCTTTAAGTATACAAGTAAGAAAAAAATGCCGAAAAAAATTTTGCTATTATTAAAAAAAACAAAAACAGTCAACATGCATTTAACGGATGTCAGAATTCGTTGAAAAATACACCCCTACCCTCCCTAAACTTAACTGCTTTTTTGAACGTAACTCATAATTGATACAACAATAGTTAATAAAAATGAACACGCTACAGTCCCTTGTCTGAATGATTGGATTTCTCTGGATCCTTGGAAACAGAAAATAATGAATTTATATGTGTGTTTAAAACTCAGTAAATTTAAAAATAAGTTATTCCAATATTCGCTTGAAGATGAAACGGAACTAATACTTTTAATTTAATTATATAATTAAATTTAAAGTTTTTAGCTTCCATTTTTGAAAAATGGTTATTACTGTGTAGCAAAAAAATATATATATATATATATATATATATATATATATATATATATATATTATAGTTTTAAGGTAGGCTATATTTATGAGTTAAGGTGATCAGTATCAGGGATATAGTGTGCATAAACATAAAAGTGGACATTGAAGTCAACACCCAGTGGCATGATTGTGCTTAAGCATGAAACAGAATGTGTGTGTGTGTGTGTCTATAAATATATTGCTTAAAATTTGCCATATTTAAAAAAGAAAGATTGCTCAATATTAGAAATTGAGAGTGTGTGTGTGTGTGTATATATACAAATGTTTATGTATTTAGGCAGCAATCCCTCTTTAATTCATGTTTCATTGAACAAGTCCAACAAGGTAGATTTTATTTTTTGCATACAATATTTTCTTTTCTGGACCTATTGAATGTAGAAATTGCTCTAGAGTTTGCTTATTCTGAGCTCTTTCCAATAAACTGTTAGCCTATTGCAAGGATTTTCTTTTGTTATACTACTGTGGTGTGTATGTGCTATTGTCTATAATAGCACTTACACACCATATCTGTCTATCTATCTCTACATCCATATCTACCTATCTATCTATCTATCTCTATAGCCATATCTGTCTATCTATACTCTTATCTGTCTATCTATACTCATACCTATAAAACTTAACTTTGTGCAGGTAATCTTACTTTCAGTGATTTAATATGGTAACATATGGTAATAGTAATATTAGCCATTTCCCTACTAGGAAAGATTTTGGCATTCATTGACTAAGTTGCTAGTACTGTTTTCGGTTGAAATTTATAAGATCTTTCTCTTATAACTTATAAAATCTTACTCTATACTCATATCTATCTATTTATATTCATATCTATCTATCTATCTATCCATCTATACTCATATCTACAGTTGTGGTCAAAATGTTCAGAATGGCATTGTTTTCATCAGAAAAGTAGGTATAAGTTTTTATCGAAGTTGTTTTATATTCTATAATTTTCACAGACAATAAATACAGTATTAATTGTTATTGTCTGAGAGTTTGGTGTAATTTGAGAGGATAATACAAAAGTTATGGATGATTTAGTGATTTATTGCAAAACCCATGGCGGCCAAAATGATCAGAACGGTTGCTTTTACTTTGTGTTTTAGTATATTTAACCGGTGAACTCTAATTTTTTTTAATTTGTTTACGTGACGGTTTGTTTACTAAACATTAGTAAGAATATCTGCAGTGTACTTTGTTAATATAATGCCACTTACTCTGTTATGAATTCGTCAGAAGATTATTAAGGTTCGAAAGAAGGATAATTTAAGTATTGGGTTTATTGCAAAGATTGTTAACAAGTCAAAAAGTGTTGTTCACGGTATTCTTAAGGTCTAAAATGATTGTGGTTCGTGTGAAGCAAGAAAGTCTACAGGTAGGCCAAGAAAAAGCGACCAAGAGAGAAGATCGTGCTATGGTAAAGTTGGTTAAAAAGGACAGATTTAAAACTACTGCTGCTGTTTCTCAGGAAATGAGCATTGTACTGTAGAAAACTTTATCTTGAAAAACTGTGTCTCGTCGTTTAGTTGAACATGACCTACAAGCAAGAGCACCTGCAGTGAAGCCACTGATCAGCTCCAAGAATAAAAAGTGTCGTCTTATCTTTGCAACCAAACATGTGTTGTGGTCTCAAGAAAAAGGCAAATGGTGCATTTCAGTGATGAATCTAAGTTTATGTTATTTGGCTCAGATGGGAAAAGGTACATTCGTCAAAAATAGGTGAAAAATTGTCGCCTAAATGCCTTAAAACTAGTGTTAAATTTGGTGGAGGAAGTGTCTTGGTTTGGGGGATGATATCTGGAGATGGTGTGGGTCCTTTGGTGCAATTACATGGAAAGGTAAATACAGGAGTTTATAAACAACTTGTAAAAGATGATGTCTTGCCTGTGCGGAGAAATTCAACTAAGTGACCACCCATATTCATACAGGACAATGCCCCATGTCACAAGGCTAAGGTGGTCAGGAACTTCCTCAAGGCTGAAAAGGTTATTGTTATGGATTGGCCTGCTCAAAGCCCATATCTCAATCCTATTGAAAATGTGTGGAATATTCTAGGAGAACGTTCGAAAGCCAGAAATCCTAAAACAACCGAACAATTATGGAATGCCCTTCAGGAAGAATGGAATAAGATCACCCAGCAAGAAATTGAAAATTTAATTTCCTCATGCAGTTGAAGATGTCAAAGTGTGATTGAAGCTAAAGGGCTTCACACTAAATAATAAATAATTCCAGTATTCTCTGTTATTTTTGATTATTTTATTATTTTTTCAACCGTTCTGATCATTTTGGCCGCCATGGGTTTTGCAGTAAATCACTAAATCCTCCGTAACTTTTGTATTATCCTCTCAAATTACACCAAAATCTCAGACAATAACAAATAATATCATATTTATTGTCTGTGAAAATTATAGAATATAAAACATTTTCGATAAAAACTTATACCTACTTTTCTGACGAAAACAATGCCGTTCTGAACATTTTGGCCGCAATTGTATCCATCCATCTATCCATAAACACTCTTATCCATCCATCTATACTCTTATTTATCTACCTATCTACACTCATATCTATCTATAGTCATATCTATCTATCTATCTATACTCATATCTATCTATCTATCTATATCTATCTATATATACTCATCTCTATCTATATATACTCATATCTATCTATCTACACTCATATCTATCTATAATCATATCTATCTATCTACACTCATATCTATCTATAATCATATCTATATCTATACTATATCATATCTCATATCTATATATCACACTCTATCTATCTATAATCATATCTATCTATACTCATATCTATCTATAATCATATCTATCTATCTACACTCATATATCTAATCATATTCATTCATCTACACTCTATCTATCTATAATCATATCTATCTATACTCATATCTATCTATACACTCACATCTATCTATAATCATATCTATCTACACCATATCTATCTATAATCATATCTATCTATCTATACCACATCTATCTATCTACACTCCATATCTATCTATACCACATCCATCTATCTACACCATCTATCTATACTCATATCTATCTATCTACACCATATCTATATCTATCTCATATCTATCTACACTCATCTATCTATCTATATCCATCTATCTACACCACATCTATCTACACTCATCCATCTATCTATAATCATATCTATCTATCTACATCTCCACACCTATCTATCTACACTCATATCTATCTACACTCATAGCCATCTATCTATAATCATATCTATCTATACTAGCCATCTATCTATCTATCTATCTATACCATAGCTATCTATCTATACTCATATCTATCTATCTACACTCATAGCTATCTATCTATACTCATATCTATCTATACTCATAGCTATCTATCTATACTCATATCTATCTATACTCATAGCTATCTATCTATACTCATATCTATCTATACTCATAGCTATCTATCTACACTCATATCTATCTATACTCATAGCTATCTATCTACACTCATATCTATCTATACTCATAGCTATCTATCTATACTCATATTCATCTATACTATAATCATCTATCTATCTATCTATCTATTCATTCATAGCCATCTATCTATCTATACTCATATCATATCTATCTATACCATATCTATCTATCCATATCTATCTATCTATACCATATCTATCTATCCATATCCATTCATACCATAGCTATCTATCTATCTATACTCATATCCATCTATACCACATTCATCTATCTATCTATACTCATATCTATCTATCCATCTATCTACATATCATCTATATATACACCATATACTACATCCATATCTATCTATATATACTCATATCTATCTATATATCCACACTCATATCTATCTATATATACCACATCTATCTATATATACTCATATCCATCTATATATCTACACTCATTCATCTATACCATATATCATCCATACCATAGCTATCTATCTATACCCATATCTATCTATCTACACTCATATCTATCTATCTATCTACACTCATATCTATCTATCTACACTCATATCTATCTATCTATCTACACTCATATCTATCTATACTCATATCTATCTATCTATCTATACTCATATCTATCTATATATCTATACTCATATCTATCTATATATCTATACTCATATCTATCTATATATCTATACTCATATCTATCTATATATCTACACTCATATCTATCTATAATCATATCTATCTATCTACACTCATATCTATCTATACTCATATCTATCTATATATCTATCTACACTCATATCTATCTATACTCATATTTATCTATCTATACTCATATCTATCTATATATACTCATATCTATCTATATATCTACACTCATATCTATCTATAATCATATCTATCTACACTCATATCTATCTATAATCATATCTATCTATCTACACTCATATCTATCTATAATCATATCTATCTATCTACACTCATATCTATCTATAATCATATCTATCTATAATCATATCTATCTATCTATCTACACTCATATCTATCTATCTATACTCATATCTATCTATAATCATATCTATCTATAATCATATCTATCTATCTATACTCATATCTATCTATAATCATATCTATCTGTCTATCTACACTCATATCTATCTATAATCATATCTATCTACACTCATATCTATCTATCTACACTCATTCCATCTATCTATATCTATCTACACCATCTATCTATACTCATATCTATCTATCTACACTCATATCTATCTATACTATAGCTATCATCTATACCATATCTATCTATCTATAGCTATCTATCTATAATTCATATCTCTATCTATCTATCTATCTACATTCATTCATCTATCTATACCACCACTCATATCTATCTATCTATCATCATCTATCTATCTATCTATACCATCCATATCTATCTATCTATATATCATATCTATCTATCTATACTCATATCTATCTATAATCATCTACATCATATCTATCTATACATCCATCCATCTATCTATCTATACTCATATCTATCTATCCTATCTATCTACACTCCATCCATCTACACCATCATCTATCCCATCCATACCTATCTATAATCACCTATCTATCTATCTACACCATCTATCCATACCATATCTATCTATCATATCTCCATATCTATCTATCTATCTATCACTCATATCTATCTATACTCATAGCTATCTATCTACACTCATAGCTATCTATCTACACTCATATCTATCTATACTCATATCTATCTATACTCATATCTATCTATCTATCTACACTCATATCTATCTATACTCATATCTATCTATCTACACTCATATCTATCTATATATACTCATATCTATCTATCTACACTCATATCTATCTATATATATCATATCTATCTATCTACACTCATATATCTATATATACCATATCTATCTATCTACACTCATATCTATCTATATATACTCATATCTATCTATCTACACTCATATCTATCTATATATACTCATATCTATCTATCTACACTCATATCTATCTATATATACTCATATCTATCTATCTACACTCATATCTATCTATAATCATATCTATCTATCTACACTCATATCTATCTATAATCATATCTATCTATCTACACTCATATCTATCTATACTCATATCTATCTATCTACACTCATATCTATCTATACTCATATCTATCTATACTCATATCTATCTATCTACACTCATATCTATCTATACTCATATCTATCTATCTACACTCATATCTATCTACACTCATATCTATCTACACTCATATCTATCTATCTACACTCATATCTATCTATCTATCTATACTCATATCTATCTATCTATCTATCTACACTCATATCTATCTATCTATCTACACTCATATCTATCTATCTATCTACACTCATATCTATCTATCTACACTCATATCTATCTATCTATCTACACTCATATCTATCTATACTCATATCTATCTATCTATCTACACTCATATCTATCTATCTACACTCATATCTTTCTCTCTACTCATATTTCTCTCTTTCCCTCTGTTCATATCTACTTATCTTTCAAAATTTTACTGTTATATTGATCATATTTTTCACTTCACTTTTGCAAATAAAAACATTCAAGAAAACAAAACAATAAAAACCAAACCATATTAGAAAGTCATTTTTCAATTGCATTAGTTATATTTTCTGCAAGAGTAACTTCAGATTTTTATTTGCAAAATTAACTTTGAACACAAGAAAAAACTCTCCTTTTGAAGTCAAAAAAAGAAAGAAAAGGGAGCTAACATGACTTGTACAGTAAAACATGGCAGCCATTTATAAGATTTGAGTAATTGCATTGTTTATAGTTTTGCTGGATTCTTCTCAGATTTTTATCTATACAGTTAACTGATCATTAGTAATGATCATTCTACTTTGAACATTGTGGACTGGCACTACACAATCATAAAGAACAATACCAAATAACAGAAACCCCATAACTTGAGGACTATCAACAGTAGCAACAACTAAAATGGATAGCACATACTACTAAGAGAAAATAATGGCATAATGTTGTTGTTCCACACTAGTTCAAATAAAAGGTTAAGAAGGAAACCCCCAACAATACTGGAAAGAGCAATAACAGCTACTGGACATGAAAAATCTATTTCCCTGAAAATTGTTTTAAGAGAAAGATTTTATAAATTTCAACCAAAAACAGTACTGGCTGCTTAGTCAATGAATGTCAAAATGTTTCCTTGTAGGGAAATGGTTAATATTATTGTTACCATATTAAAACACTGAAAGTAAGAATACCTGCAGAAAGTTAAGTTCTATAAAATAAATGACTGCTATACTGGAGTATCTGTCTATATTTCTGAGATGAGGTATTATGTACACTATTTACATTATTCGGACTATTGTCCTCATCTTTGTTGCCATATTTATTACAACATTCCAGCCCTTGAGTATCTGTCTATGTTTCTGAGATGAGGTATTATGTACATTATTTACATTATTCGGACTATTGTCCTCATATTTATTACAGTGTTTCGGCCGTTTTTATAGAGTTCAAAGCAATTGGCAATTAGCCGATGTTTTGCCAACCATTCCAATAAACAATAATACATAAATAGCGAGAATAAACAATCTAGTGTTTCTTATTGTCAATTCTCAAGAACAAAGAAAATGTATAAATTCACCTTTATATATTTAGGTTTTATTAAAATGTTAACGATTGCTTTTTAAAAGGATAAACATGATGAAGGAGTGAAGGTAGTAAAAATAATAGTGGTGTTAAGGGAAAGCCATCCTTTTGATACACCGCTTTTTTTTTTCTTTTTTTTTCTTTTTTTTTTTTACATAATTTACATTATTCGAACTATTGTTCTCATCTTTGTCGCCATATTTATTACAGCGTTTCGGCCGTTGTATGCTCTGACCGTCTTTAGGTGGTTGGAATGTCGAACTCAACCCTTTATTTTGCTCACTGGAGTAGACTTTTCTAGTTTCACGTGCCATGTTTAATGGATGTTAGTTATCAGTTATCTCCTGTTAATTTCCCTCTGAAAATTCTCCACTGCCTTAACCAGGTATTGAACTCACACTCTTTGGGTCTTGTCACTGGATCTAACCAACGCCTTAAATAAAGGGTTCATTTCTACATTCCAACCACCTGAAGAAGGCCGGACCGTACAACGTCCGGAATGTTGTAATAAATATGGCGACAAAGATGAGGACAATAGTCCGAATAATGTAAATAATGTACATAATATCATCTCAGAAATATAGACAGATACTGAAAGGTCAAACGTTGTAATAAATATGGCGACAAAGATGAGGACAATAGTCCGAATAATGTATATATTGGAGTAATTTTGCAATTACATTTTTTTTTTAAGCAATTCTCCCCAAGCAAGACAGGAGTGCCACTAACACGAAAAGGGGCTACAGAGGATTGAGAACAAGAGTAAAAAGGCATGTTTGAGGAAAGATACAGAGAAGGACAGGGAACAAAATCAGGCTATCATAAGATGCCGATTGACATTACATTTGAATATTTGAAGATTATAGCTATCAGGGAAGCAAGCAAGAGGAAGGGAGTTCCACAGATGGGAAGTGTGAGAGAAGGAGCTGTTTGAGTAGAAGAAATGGTTACATTTAACCATTTAGACAGTGAAAGGGTTGGACCGAGATGCTAGCCTAGTAGCTCACTTAAATTCATGCAGTCTGGGAACCAGTGAAAGTAGCTTGCCAGAACAGTTGCCATGAAAATATTTGTAGAAAAGACAGAGGGAAGTCATGGCACATCTGTGAGAAAGCAACTGCAGACGAGATACCAGATCAGGGTCTATCACATTGCATATTGGTCTCTGGATTTTGTTGAGGACATTGAGATGTACAGCGGGGGCACCAGACCATATATGACAGCAATATTCCATGCAATGGTTGATTTATAGATTTGAAGGATGGACTCGGACGAGAAAGATCTTTTGTCGTGACACAGAGAACCAACTTTCCTTGCGGTAGATGTAGCTATTGATTCAATGTTATTGTTCCACCTCATGTCCGTGGAGAGTGTGAGACCAAGCAGGTGTAACAAGGCACTCTCGAGGAGTTTGGCATCAGCAAGTTCACCGCAAGGAAAGCAGAAAAGCCATTAAGACCTGAGAGGTTAGTGGCTGTGGAAGAATTAGCAAACAGGAACATTACTAATGAACAAGAAAAAAAGAAGAGTAATAAAGAGGACAGAAGATACCGATTGACATTGCATTTAAATTTTTGAAAATCAAACTTGCAGGTAAAGCAAGGAGCTGGAAGGGAGTTCCACAAGTGAGAAGTGCAAGAAAAGAGACTATTAGCATAGAACTTACGGCTAAATTGAGGAGATCTTGATGCCAGTCTAGTGCTGCATTTAAATTCATAAAGTCTAAGTACCATAGCGAAGAGCTCATCTGAACAATTAAAATAGGCACAGGGAGGCAATTTTATGGTGTTAGGAAAGTGACTGAAACTGTGATGCCAGATCATGACTCATAATATTGCTGATTCTTCTTTGGATTTTATCAGAGATTTCTAGATATATAGTAGGAGCACAGAACTATATGTGGCATTGAGTATATTTTTTGCATGAGTAATATAGAATTTTAATCCCTAGATTGATATTTTTTTATGGTTTATTAACTTTAGGTTATTTAAAGCCGGAAAATATTTTTATATTGTAAGAAGTTTTTGGAGATAATGATTTAATGATACAAGTTATACTACTTAAGCCATAACTGGAGTGAGAAGTGGTGGATTTATATCTTTCACAAGGTTATTTGCACATAAATGAATATAACAAACCTGACAGGAATTGGAACTCAGCTCTCTGATTTCCATTTCCAAGCTGTTATTCATTACCACACTTGTACATTCAGCTTGCAGTGCCTGGTATTCCAATGTAGTCACCCATCTAGGTACTGACCAGGTTTGATGTTGCTTAACCTCGGTGTTCGTATGAGAACCGATGTTTTAACATGATATTGCTGTAAGGCTTACAGTGCCTGGTATTCCAACGTGGTCACCCATCTAGATACTGACCAGGTTTGATGTTGCTTAACCTCGGTGTTCCTATGAGAACCGATAAACATCGGTTCTCATACGAACACCGAGGTTAAGCAGCCTCAGTGTTCCTATGAGAACTGGTGTTTTAACATGATATAGTTGTAAGACTTACAGTGCCTGATATTCCAACGTGGTCACCCATTTATTTACTGGCCAGGTTTGATATTGCTTAACCTAGGTGTTCATATAAGAACTGGTGTTTTAATGTGATATGGCTGTAAGGCTTTTAATCTTTAGAATTAATTTTATTGTTTCATGTTAGAAATGATTTTAAAAAAAAAAAAGATTAAAAATAAAAATATTCATTCCCCCCCCCCAAAAAAAAAAAATTAAAAAAAAAAGTCTGCTATTTAAACGTGGACTATTATTTTCATCTTTGTTTTGTCCCGTCTTTGTCTCATCTTTTGTTATGAGGAGTTATTATTTACACTATTTACATTCATTCTATTGTCTTCATCTTGTTGTTATCACCATGTTTCAGCCATTGTGTTCTTGGCCTTCATCAGGTGTAAATCAATCCAGGTAACCTACAGGGAATTCAGAACAGAACCCTCTATTTAATCTCCAGTGATAGACAGTTCTTGTTCTACTGCTCATATCTAGGGATATCCTGTCTGGATCTTATTTTTCTAATACTGCTCATTTACTACTCACCTTGTTTCCACAGAGTCCAAGTATACACTGCAGTACTGAAAATAAGAACTAGACAAGATATCCCTAGACATGGGCAGTAGAATGAGAACAGTCTAACCCTGTAGATTAAATAAAGGGTTCTGTTTGGAATTCCCTCTGGTTACCCAAACCAAAATACATGTTGAAGGTCAGAAGGCACAACATATGAAACCTTGTGATAATAACAAAAATGAAGATAATATTCCACATGTAAATAGTGTAAATAATGATAACCCCTACATACCAGAGATTCACACAGAAATAATCGAATCGGTACAGACTCAAATATTGGCACAGAGGTCAAACAACCTGACATTTTTGTTTACCCCAAGCAAGACAATAAAGTCAATAAGACACAAAAGGACACTTTGTCACCAATATAGCTAGTTGACTCACTTGGCATCATAAAAGTAAACATCCAGATAATCTCATCTCCACTCAACACGGGATGACTTGAGGATCACTGGTATGGTCTTATGAGCCATTTAAGAAATCATTAACAACATGGAACTCATCTCTGAAATGCTTGTTTTGGGTGTTGTGATTTTTAGGCGTGGTCTTACTCATTGACTAGTTGACTTCCACCATAAGTAGGTGCATATATGTATGTGCATGTAGGCATATGTATGTATGTGTGAATGAGAATAATTAAACATGTGGAATGTGTCGGAAAACCAGCAAAAAGCCCCAGTATCATCCATGAGCAACAGAATTTACAAAGCAGGCCAGGCCCTGTACAGAACAACTTAGTTTTCCATGTATGCAATAAGCAGTGCAAGACATTTGTTGGTATCAAGAACCACTGTCATTCTCACAAGAACTAAAACCATGAATCAAACTTGCCAGTGATGGTCATACTCATTTAAGAAATTGGCAGTCATTTTGTGTGTATGTGTGTGTGTCTGTGTGTCTGTGTTATTTTTATATATTGATATTTATTATTATTATTTTATTATAACCATTTCACCCAAAGTAAGGCGATAATGCCATTAGGACATAAGAGATTACTGGGAGTGAAAGAGAATGAGAAGACTCTAGTGAGGAGAAACGACAATAAAAGAACAGATATCAGGATGACAGAAGATGGAAATAATGCCACTAAGACGCAAAGAGTTACTAGGAGTGAAAGAGAATGAGAAGACTTTAGTGAGGAGAAAGGACAATAAAAGGACAGGGTTCAGGAAGACAGATGGTGATTAGTGTTACATTTAAATTTTTCAAGATTGTCAGTGACAGGGAAGCAAGAAATCAGAACGAATTTCCACAGGTTAGAAGTGCAAAAAAACAAACTATTAGAAGATAAGCGATAGTTGCATATAGCTAGTTCAACTGTAAAATGGTCAGACCTAGTTGCCAATTTAGTAGCATGTTTAAATTCATGCAGATGAGGCACCAAGAAAGAAAGCTCATCAGAACAATTACTATGAAAATATCTGTAAAAAAGACAGAGGGAAGACATGTCACAGCAATGGGAAAGTGACGGAAGTTGATGTCAGGTCATGATCGATTACATTACAGATCCTTTGTTGGATTTTGTCAAGAATCTTGACATATAAAGCAGAAACACCAGATCAGATATGGCAATAGTATTCAATGTACGGATGAATGGTAGACTTATAAATGTGCAAGATGGATTCTGATAAGAACAATTGTCTGGCATGGCACAGTGAACCAACTTTCCAAGCAGAAGGCCAAACAGTTGAATCAATATAATCTTTCCACTTCATGTATGTTGAAAACGTGAGCCCAAGAGGGTGCAAAGAGTTGTTCTCCTGGAGGTTAGTATCAGCCATACTGATGACAGTTTTGTTTTGGAGGTATTAAAATTTACAAGCCATTTCTTGCACCAGATAGGAGGTCCTTTTCAAGAGCAGTTGCCAGTTGCTACTAAGACAGAAGGGTAAAGATGTCATTAGTATAAATACCTAGTTGGGATCTGATGACATTGGGAAGGTTGTTGGTAAAGAATAAGAAACGATGTAGACTGAATCAGAGCGCTGAAGGAAACTTGCATTAATGTGAAATGAACAGAAAGTGTGTCTGTTAAACACAACCTTCATTACACAATTTTTAGGAGCAATTAGTGTCGGGTGAGTGGCTATTGTTAAATGTAAAATAAATGACAGAACTATCCAGCAAACAGAATTTACAAAGTTTGCAATAACAAGAAAAAGCAAGCAAATAATATACAGGTATGATGGATAAATTGTCGTCTAAAGCACATAATGAGGAAAGAGGGATTTGAAAGCTCGATACTCACAGCGCATCATAAATGCAAGAGTGACAGAAGAAAACAATGCATAACCTACCTAGCACACTTGTGCAAATGGTTCGCAGAACAGGGTTTAGGGGAGATGGAAGAAAGACAAAATTTATTAAGAGCTACAAAGGACGGGAAGTTGTGAAGAGCTATGATCACCAACATCTTAATGGGACACGGCACATAGTAGAAAATGTGAGAAATACTGTCATCCTAAAATATATTTATTTAATTAATCTTGGTGCATGTAAATGTTGATGTGTCAAAAATATACCTCTGTTCAAATACTTATTAAAGTTTTGATTTTTTCTTCTTTCAGTCCCTCCATATATTGTGGCAATAGACAGCAAGCTTTGAGACATACATTACAACGGTAAGACATTATTTTCTTGACACTGAGAATGAACAGATCAAAAGAAAAATTAAGGTTTTTACCTACGTCAGTGGTTCTTAAACTTTTTGGGTCCCTTTAATCATGGACACCTTTAGTCATGGACCCCTATAAGAACTAACTCTTCACAGACAGACATGCATTTACTCACAGTGTAATTGTGTAGAGTGAGTGGTCATGGTTAAATGTAAAATAAATGACAGAACTATCCAACAAATAGAATTTACAAAGTTTGCAATAAGCAATAATAAGAAAAAGCAAGCAAATAATATACAGGATGCGATGGATAAAATGTCATCTAAATTATGCAAAAAATGAAAATAACATTGATATTTCATTTTAACCAATATATTTACCAAAATTACAAAATTATCTTGAAATACTAAAGAGTAAAGTTATTTAATAAAATCACCATTGGCTTCAACCAAGGTTTCCAGATGACTTTGGAATCTCCTGCAACTCTTCTACACAGTCTCTTTGTTTAAGTTGGTAAATGCTGCCATAATCTTTACCTTCAGTTCATCTTTGGTGTTACAAGGAGTTTTGTTGCTCAACTGCACCCCACACATAACAATCAAAGGGGTTGCAGGCTGAGGAGTTCAGTGACCAGAAATGACAGAACTATCCAACAAACAGAATTGCCAAAGTTTGCAATAACAAGACAAAGAAAAGAACTGTAAAAAATAATCTTGGCTTCAATCAATTTGTCACGGTATTTTTTTTTCATATTCTGTCGCACTCAATAACCCCTTCTGTCTTTCTCAATCTATCATCAATCTATCTAGCTCTGAATTTGTAACCTAACATAAACAACGACAACATATCATAGGAAATGGATTAAATCCGACAAATATTTAATATATTTTTGTAGTAGAAAACCGGGGATTCTGTAGCAAAAACACTGGAAACACCGAAAACACACTCGCAATGGATTCTGGTTCAGTGTGCACCGATGTGACCTGGGTTGAGCACAAAAACTTCTCTCATTTAGACAAACATTAACATTTTTTTATATGTTCTTGCCATGCCAGAGAGTTTGCATATTGAGCTCACTGCCAGCCTTGATCTGACTCAATGACACATGTGCCTCGTCATTCCAGTACCGATGCTTGGATGGCTTGCTTCATTAGTAATTCGCTTGTCCTATACACACATTTAAGCTATGTTACTCTAGCTCTCTTGGATCTCCGAGGTAACTCTCCAGCACAATTTTAATTTTATACTTTTTTTTTTATGGATACAGAATTTCTGGTTACGCGAAAAAAAAAAAAAATGATCGGTGAAGATATGTGTTTAAAAGCAGTAATTCAAGATTTACTTAACCAGAAGTTCTCTGTGGCTGAACAGTCATAGCACGCCAGGCTTAATGGCGGTTCTATATAGGATGCAGGTTCAATTCCTGTCAGAGAATACATATTTTCTATGAAATTTCTCAAATATCCAGGCCAGTAAATGTAATCAATACTGTTTAATTAAAGAACAAAGTATTTACTCAAATAAGTGTTTCCATAAAAAAATAAAGTATAAACAGAAAATATGTTAAATATTTGTATTTGTTGGATTTAATACATTAATTTCTGAGATATATATATATAT